CCGCAGTCGAGAAGCTCGACTGCTCGTCCAGCTGCGCCAGCCTGGGCATCACCGGAATCACGACCATCAGCACCACCAGCTCCGAGCATCCGCATCCGCACCAGCACCAGCACCAACACCAGCACCAGCACCACGCCCACCTGCACCCCGCACACGCCCACGGAGGCCAGCAGCAGCAACAGCAGCAGCAGCAGCAGGTGCACCACCACCAGCAGCACCACCACAGCCACCAGGCGCACTTCCACCAGCTGCTCCAGCAGGCCCACGGCGGAGCAAGTGCAGCGGCGGCGGCTGCCTGCGGGGAGCACCTCTCCGGACAGGCGACTCCGGCGACGGCGGCGGCACGTAAGTGGACTCCGGCCGTAGTGGCTTTACGGGAGCTCGACCATTAATTGGAAATTACTGCTCAGCTGCCGCTGATGCAGTGCATGAAAGAACCAATGAACATAATCCAGATGCAGTCGAGAGTGGAGTCGATTCAGGCTTTTATACTCTTTCAGGGGATGTTATGCATTTGAGCAGGACTTTTACATTATCACGTAATTTACGTAACTACAGTTTATAGGTGGTCTTATTTCTGTGCTAGTTTTTATATTAGAGCATAGAGCACTCAAAACTAACGCAAATCAAAACTTAAAGCGGGAACTCAGGTCATATAATCTAAAAACAATTACAAAGTTAAAAATAACTAACTGACAGCCAAAACATTATTTATAAATCTTTTTAGTTAAACAAGATTTGATAAATTTTATTTTGATAATGTCACTCACTCAAATTTTGCTTTAAGCGTTGAACAATAGTCTTTACGTTGGCGTAAATTACTCATACGACATGTTGTGCCAGTTACACAATGCAGTAAATGTCTCTTCACAAATTCTGATTTATTGTTTCAGATTTTGACATTTGAGATCAGGTATGATTCTCAAACCGCTCAAATGACAACATAATTGTATGCAAAATCAATAATTCAGACAAGTGTTTTTACCTCATAAGCAGAAATCAGACAAAATCTGAAGTGAGTAACCAGAATGTGTAAATTGGCCTTTGAATTATTTGATCAACAGTACGTATGAGTGATAAACCTTAAAGCCGAACCACCGACACCAAAACTCTGTTTTACGGGGAGTAGAACCTTTAAATTTCCATAGCATATATGAAATTTATTTATATGATCGAATTGTAATATATTATCAATTGGGATAGCTCTTCGAAAGGGCATTTTAAGTTTAGCTATTACCAAACCCAGACTTCGTTCAAAGTAATCCTCCAGCTGCCACTCATCCGGTTCTCTCCTCTGTCCGCCGTCTATCCACCCACAGTGCACACCACAGCCATGGCAGTGGCACTCCAGCATCAGCTGACAGCCGCAGGAATCGGAGGACTCCTGAAGCCGGCCACCGGGGTGGGGGTGGGGGCCACCATGGCCGGCCTGCCCACCACCCAGGCGGGAGCCGCCGCCCTGCAATTGTCCGGCGACGGGGAGTCATCCGGATCGACGCTCACGCTGCTGGAGCCACCAGGCTCCGCCCTCCTGCATCCCGCTCTGCGCAACGTCAAGACCATCAACATAGGTGAGTCCTGAGTCCTGAGTCCTGTGTCCTGTGTCCTGGCAGCTGAAGCTTCGGCTGCCATCCTCAGCTAATCTCGGTTACTGCACGGAGAAAACTCAATTGCCATTAGGCGGTGGTTAACGACATTTTTGAAACTATTTGTGCTCTATAAAAAATGATTACTTTTAAAATGTATGTAACAGTAGCACATTTTTACAAGGTTTTTCTATAGCTAAAACAATAACCATTTCCATTACCATTACTATATTATTATGATAGACTAATTTTGTTTGTTTTTTAATCAAAGACCTTAAAAATTGCGAAATCGATTAGTAAACCATTTTAATATTTGACTTAAAAGAGCCAGTTAAGTTTATCTCAAATTTATTTCATTTTTTCATCAATTCAAATAACATTTTTATGCTGAAATTGAGCTTAACGTTAATGTAGTAAGCGAAAAAAGTTTAAGTGTAGTTCCATAGCTCGAAGTGCCCTAAGACGAATTAATTTCTGTAACTCGAAGTTTCTCTAACTCAAATTTTTACGTTACCAGATAGATGTTTTAATTAACTGAATGTGAAAAGGTTGTTAGCACTGACATAATTTTCTTTCTGTGTATTAGGTGGCGGCCTGGGAAGGAAGCGCCCCCTGCTGGGGGTTCCCCGCTCCGGAATGAATCCCACCAAGCGCACGGTGATGAGTCTGCTGGCCAGGGCCAAGAATTCGCAGGCACTGCACTCGGTCCGCCAGCCGATGGTGACGGCCACCAGTTTCGCTGAGTGAGTTGCCACCACGGAAACGAGCCACCACGTACTCCGATGTTGCAGGTTCGACGGGGGAGCCAGGCACTCATTTCCATTCGCTTTGTTTCAGACCCTTGCAGATGCTGGCCTCGCCCTTCATCATTCCGCACCAGGCGGTGGACCAGCCGATCCTGGCGCTGTCGAAGGAGGGACTCGCCCAGGGCGTCTAACCCAGTGACCTGCTCCTCCTGCGGCTGCCCAGATAGACCAATCTGACCGATTACCACCTGCCCCGCCTCCCAATTGCGAGGATAAGCGAGAATCTCGAGGAGATTAGCGAGTACTTCTAAGCGATGTTTGCGTAGCTGATGCGTACTTTCCACGTAGTAAGGCTATACCGATCTTTAGGGACTAACTGTGAACTTATCCGAGCGAAATCTCGAGCTCGTGCCACACGATTTTATTTTTTACAGAGAATAAACGGAGCGTCTATTTGCAATGCGATGTTTTATTTCCACAGATGCAAACCTAGGCAAACAAAATCGAAACGTTCGATCTAATGGAACAGAGTTTAAACTTTAAACAAATTGAAACCTAAAATTAGTGTCAAATTAAAAAAAACGAGAGCAACTTCAATAGAAATAAATGTAAACGCAATTACTTTAAACAAATTACTTTAAATAAATATACACACAAATACGAATGCGAATGCAAAAACCGAACACGAGTACCATAAAAGATATATATACAATACATACGAACACGTATACAAGCATATACAAAAATATAAATATGTGTGTACTTAAATCTATATTAACTTAAGATTAAACCAAACGAAACTACTAAATTAATGAGATAATACAATAATTTTAAAGTATTTTAACAGCCACAAAACGAAGACAAAGTCAAGCCGAAAAAGAGAAGAAAAGAAGAGAAGAGAAAATAAAAGAAAGTAGAAGGATATAGAAAGTTGAGGTAGAACCCCCGATCAGAGAGATCCCACCGCCTTCAGCTTGCGTTGCCTGATTGATTCCACATTGAGTCCCCTCAGATCCAAAGCTACAGCTGATAGATATGATAGTTCGGTTTCAGTTTTAGAACGGGAAGTTTCAGAACATCGAAAGCAGCGATCGCCTATAGAGTTATATTTTTGGTTCAGATTATATATACACGCACTTAAGGATAATGTATGGAAAGGTCTTTGGTCTGAGTCTAGCTAGATGTTCCATCCCCTCCACATCACTGCGATGCTTCGATTAAAAGTATGAATTGATATTCAGACTATGGGAATCTGATCTCACAGTTGGCTGTCGAGTACTTTGGGAGCCACTGTACCGAGCAATCCAGCAGATAGTTCCGATTTCACATCGAGAGTTCACTTTAGCTACCCAGTTACTTTGTTGACTGTGCACAACCCACATAGCAAATAAATAGTACTTAAATAGCGTTAACCGATATACAATAACAAACATTACTCAATAAATGTTCACAGAAAGTTTAATCAAAAAAACAAAACGAATATTTACAGCGTAAAGTAAAAGTAAAGTTAAAGCAAAATATTGATGTTCAAAGAAAGCAAATCCGTGAAAGGTCCTACTCATTAATGTCATTAATGTAGATGTCAAATATGCAAAACGAATTAAATAATTAAACCAGTCTTAAATGTGAAAAATTTCAGCAAAAATCCACCACAACCACCAAATACCACACAAACCGCCACCACCACGAACACAGCTTCGAGCTATTCACAAATAAAATGCAATATTTTAAAAATAAAAGTTAAAGAGTTTTACTCCCTTATTTTGATGGCAAACAACAAGGGAAAGTGAAGTTCCCCTTAACTCATAAAAAATAATACAGAAATGCACTCTCAGGAGAGTTCGTCCTTTTTTTAGCTATTAGTTCCGGAGATCCAGTTTTATCCAGCAGATTCTTCTCTGTGGTTAAGTTTTATGTGCCCCCCTTTAACTATCATAAAATAGCTCAGGTAAAAAGGGAAAAAGCGGATGGATGAAGGAAATATGAAAAGTTTAATGCAACTTCGAGGTAAGGCACATTCATTCATTTGTATACAGAAACAAAATATAAAATACATTTAATTTCTCTCTATGGTCCAAGGTTAAAATTATGATTTAAAGCGAGAACACAATGCTGAAAAACTGTATAGAACTCTATAGTTATATAACAGCTATGGGATATAGAGATCCGATATAGTTTTGGTTCGAAATTGGGATAAATATGTATGTATATGTATATGGCGCAGTTTTAAAACTTTATGTGGGTACAAAAAAATCAATTACGTAAGTTTTAAGTTTATTTTTTTAACTCAGCTTGCAAACGGTATTGAAACCGAATATATATACTTTATACGGTTTGAAATGTCTCCCTTACTGCGATACAAGCTGCTGACCAAATTTACAATGCCTCCTGCAAGGGTATAAGATAGCTTAAACATTGTTTATGGCCAAAGCTCCAACAAATCAGCTTGAGTTTCGGTTTTTTGATCAAAACCCTGGTTAATAATGGTCAAATCTTTGAATGTCATTCCTCGGTGGATTCCCATCCCTTATTAAAAAAGCGAAAATCGGTCAAAAAATACATTTTTCCGAAAAAAACTTAAGAATTACTTCAAAGAATTACTTTCTAAAGCCCGACAAAATTGACTCGACCCTCGGTTAAACTTGATTAAACATATTTATTTTTATGCTCAATACATAGTCGCCCGCTCGAGCCAACTGTCAGGAAAAAGCCGGAGGAAGTACCTGCGAGTGGTCTCGAGGAAGATCAGGAGTGCCACGAACGGGTAGATGGTATAGAGGAAGAAGCCAATGCTGAAAAAAGGGGACCAATGTCAGGGTACGGAGGTCATGCTGCCAGAAACACCCACTGGAGTTCGTTGGTCCCGTCCAGTCGCAGGCAAACAGTGGAGTCCATGAGGCACAGTTGCACGCAGAGGCAGGCCAAATAAAGGACGGCCAGGTTCAGCCGCCAGTTGGCAAAGCCGTGGGTCAGCAGATTGGCACGTCCCGTCTTGGTCAACACCAGGTTGGTGCACTGCATCGCGACGAGGCTCATCAGGCAAAGGGAGGACACCTGGCACTCCAGTCGCTGGCGAGCTGTGATGGTCTGCGGGAGAATCGGAGTGGGGGTCAGTTGGCTGCCGTTCATCTATACTTATTTATACCCATTCCTGGCCGAAAGCATCGGTGATGTCGTTGACCGTGTCGTCGTGCCACTTGATGTGCAGACCCACCAATGTCCTGGGCAGGAACCCCTTGTCGGCCATGAACACGAAGTAGGTCATGAAAACAGCGGCGGCTTCTATGGTTCCCACAAGGATGAGGGACACGAAAAGTAGTCTAAGGGAAAAACATGAGTACTTGGACAAATAATTTTAGAATATATTTTATCGCTATTGCCAATTAAAAAAAATGATCTATTATTCTTTTGCACTGAGTTTTGGACTTTGATAATATAAAATTATTATTACAGAAATTAAATTCCTGTTATTATATAACAATAATTTGATTGACAAATTATTTCCTTTTTTAAACTTATACAAAATAATATCATTTATTTTATACGTCCAATAGAAATTTTAGACATGAAATTTTTCTGAAAGGAAGCATAAATCCTTTCAGAAAGACATATCCTTTACTTACAAGCTTTGGTGGAAGAAGAATCTATCTTTAAAACATATTGCATGATATCAATCTGATGCTGACATAAGCACAACAAAATGATAAAAAGGCTAAACCTTCCAACAAAAACGTTGACAAAGTCAAAGTAAATTTCTTAAGATTGTTAAAGATGCACCTTTTTTACCGGCAAAATCTTCAAAAGAATAAATGCCACAAACAAATTTAAGGCTTAAAATAATTCATTTTATAAAATTTTTCCAGCATAATTGATATGCATAATATATTCAATTTAAATAAATGATGCTTAAAGTATTCAGCCGTTTAGCTTATTTAATTGAAGTATGGACACAACAGTTTTTGTTAAAGTAAAACCCAATACACATGTTTTATGAGTACAAACTTACCGACTATTAAGCAGAAAGTCATCGTATACTTTGGGCATCTGCTGCATCATTTTCTCCTCTGGGGGCTCATAAATCAGGGTCATGGCAGGTAGCTATGGGAAAACTCGATGTTGTTGGACAATTCAGGAGTACCAAATTTTATGGGACCCCGACCCCAAGCCCACTTACCAAGTTCACGAGGAAGGCAAGAATGAGTTCATCCATGATATGGATGTGAAAGGGGACCCGGAGCAGGAAGAAGGCGGTGTAGACCAGAAAGGTGGTCGTGTTGGTGGCCATGCAAAAGACCAGGGCCTTCTTGAGATTCTCGAACAACAGACGACTTTCGCCGACCACACTGACCAGGGTGGCGAACGAGCTGTCCAGCAGGATGAGATCGGCACTGGCCTCGCACATGACGGCACACCCGTACTTGGCCGCGCCCACATGGCCACTCCGCATGGCGGGCGTGTCATGGAGCGTTCCCCCGATGACGGACACCACTGCTCCCAGCCGGCGACAGGCGTCCACTATCCAGTGGAGCTGCTCCGTGCTCGCTTCGGCGCACACCAAGTCCCGCCGAGCCAGGAGCAGCTGCTCGATGTGCCAGCGCTGGTGGTGTGGCTTCTCGTCCGCGTACTTGGACATGTCCACTATGTCCGTGCTGGGTATGGATGCCCTGCCCCTTTGCATATCCCAGGGTGCGGAGAGGATGCCCACATCCACGGCCAGCGCCTTGGCCAGGTTGCGTTTGCGTCGCGTCACGACGATCAACTTAATGCCCGCCGTTCTGCAGCGAACCACTGCCCTGGGAATGGTGCTCCTGGGCGGATTGTATGTGGCAATCATGCCGAGGAACCTCAGCGAGAAGGTGTCCACCGCCAGGTAGTCCCGGTACCTGTACTCCCCGCCCTCCAGTCCCGTGTTGGTGTTCACCTGCGAGAAGCGCCGGAACTCCAGCTCGTTGCTCAACTCCTTGTAGGCGAAGGCGCGGACGTGGCGACCCGCCTCCAAAAGCCCATCCGCCAGGCTGAGTATGATGTCCTGCAGCTGATTGTCCAGCGGCAGCTCCTCGCCACGGAGGGCGAAGGTGGAGCACCGGCGGATCACCACGTAGCAGTGGCCCTTCATCAGCAGGATGAGCTTCTGCTGGCCATCGGCATCGCGAGTCCTGTGCACCGTCACCTGCATCTTGTCCGCACTGGTGTAGTGCTTGTTGGCCACCTTCTCGTGGTCGCGACGCAGCTGATCGATGTTCGGCAGGATCATCAGACCGAACTTGAGCAGGGCCATGTCGAGGATACTGCCGTACATGTCCTTCTGCATCTTGGGCACTCCGATGTTCCCCGGACAGATGACCGCATCGTTGCAAAGGATCGAGGCCCGGATCAGCTCGATGAATCGTGGACCCTGGGCACCAATGTCTATATTGTCGGCGCTCAGCAGTCCCATGTCCACAAAGATCTCGGACACTCGCATCCGACGCCTGGTCATCGTGCCCACCAAATCGGTGACGATCACGGTGGTGAGGCCCACTGTGGTGGTGCTGCGGAGGTTCCTCACATAGCACTGCTTCTTCCTCATCAGCGTTTTCGTCCGTCTAATGCCCCAGTAAAGGATGAAGGGCACGTAGAAGGGTGTGATGGCAAGCAGCAGTGAGAGATTGACCTCGTACACAACTTCACCGCGCTCGAGACCGGTGGTGCAGACCAGGAGGATGGACACGACGAAGGTCATCACGATCATGTAGTAACCAATCTAAAAGAAAGGTAAGGAGGTGGCGGGTAGTTCCCCAGGACTCATGCACATCACTCACCTGTCTCTGATGCCTTTCCACGCGACTCGGAGGTCGCTCCTTGAAGCTGAGTGCCGCCATCGTTCCCACATCGGTGTTCTTTCCACAGGCAATGGCCACGCCGAAGCCAGATCCCTTCATGGCATGACTGCAGGCGAAGCCCACGTTGTTGAAGCCCCACTTTGAGTGGGTTTTAGAATTCATGACGAGGCTGGCTTAATTCTAGAACTGTCACAATGCCAACAGATATCTGAGATTTTAGGAATATGTATATTGACTCTATGATTCATGCTTAAGAATTATGCTGATCATTTGGAAACGAGCTTGAAATATAGCGTAACATCCATGAGTGATAGAAATTACAGATAAGTACCCATTTAATCAGTACATTTTGAATATGTTCAAACTTATTATTGGTTCTTGTTTCATAAGAAATGAGTATCTTGACCCTATGGCTTAATGTAATAAGGTATTGTAATAGAATCACTTCGACTTATAGAAGATTCGAGTTTTGAATGTTCGAGCTATGGAAGACAACTGTATTACTAAAATGAAAACCCCCATCTTCAACATTGAGAGCAATTTCCAATAACAAATTTATAAGTATGTATTCTTAAAACAGTTGCTTATTTCTGGAGTTATTAGAAAAATTGAATTTTAATTTAATTTTCAGTAAAATGCAGTGGCTTATAGGTCCTGAAGGTATTCAATTCGGGAGAATCGCTGCCGTCCCTCATTCGACAATGGAGTGACAATCACGGGCTTTGAGTATCCAGTCAGGGCCACATTGTTCACCTCCAGACCCGAGGAGCTGAAGATTCGGAGATCGGCAGGGAGTCGCTGTCCATAGCTGATTGGCACTATGTCACCAATGACCACGTCCTGGGTGAGGATGATTTCCTTTTCGCCATCCCGGATCACAGTGCAGTACATGGGCATCAGCTCATCGAAGGCCACGACCATCTCCTCGTTATCGTCGCTTTGCAAATGTATCACGAGTCCTGCGAGAAGGAAACTGAAGAACAGAAACATTCCGACTATTAGAAACTCCGGATCGGTTTTTTCTTTCTGATTGTAGTGGGTTTCATATACAAAGTATATGGTAAAACAGGCCAGGGAACACAGCAGAGTGAAGATGCCCAAGATGCTGAAGCAGTCCTTTAGGAATTTCCAATACCGCACATCCTGTTGAAGGGGAAGCGGCAGGACATTCTTGCCATTCCGTGCTAGCTTTTTGGCCGCCACCTCGGCGGTTAGACCCTGTCGATAGAACCGTGGTTATTTATCACCTGAAGTCGTGATTTTGCGTATCTCACCTGAGGGACATTCGTCTCCAATCTGGCGCAGAGCTCGTAAAATGGCCAGATGTGCAGATATGGGCCGAAGTACTCCAGCCACAATTCATTTTCCGTCTGACGCACTCCCTCCTTTACCTTTTTCTTTCCTTTGCGCCTACAACACCTACACCAACCAATCCATTTCGAGATCTGTTTTCGCCAGAGCACCATGTTTACGGAAAACTCTAGGCAATTTGTGGAGCTGTGTTTTCGGCATGTAGAGCTGGGAAAATGGCTCGTAAAACGGCCATCAATGTTCTCACACAAACCAGCCTGCGACTTCCAATGTCACTCAGTCCGCCCGGAGTCACGGGTCAGGGGTCAGGGGTATTAGGGGTCATAACGGTGGCAAGAAGCAAACTCAACTGCTCCGCTGGGAGTGGCAAATCGAATGAATTGATACGCCGCCTCTTCGCAAACAATTGCGCCCAAAGGCCGATGCCGTGATATTGACACTGGCTTGCTGACATGTTCCACGCCGTATTTACAAGCGGACGGAATGCGCTCTTTATGGCCTCGTTTAATAAGTCATCAAATTTCATTGCCGTCAAGTAAAAAACAGATAAAACATGCATTTGCATATATTTATGGGATGCGGGGGCCATCAATGGAAACGAGACATTACTGCGTTTGCGCTCAATAAGCTCGAATTGGAACAAACTATACTGGCGAATGGGATGATATGTGGCATTGTTGACACTCAATGGGTTCGTTTGTGGCAGGATAAAAACGGTATTAAAATTCAGACAAATCGTATTGTATTTTTAATTAGACAGCTATGACTTTTTGATTTGCTTTTAATGACTGATGTTGTATAAGTTTCTTTAAACTATGTTGAACGAAGAGAAAATTATCAATAAATTTTTAAAGCTCAGGATATTGGTCATAGTATAGACTTAACAAAAACAAGCAGGAACGCTATAGTAGAGTTTCTGGACTATTAGATATCCGATACTCATTGCTTATATACAAATGTTGCCTACATAAAGACACAATTTTGTAAGGCTTTATCTTTGTTAATAATATTATGGTTTGATTTTTTTTAATAAAACGAGAAAAAAAAATTTTAAAAACAGACCAAAACAAAAATAACAATCAATAATTTCAATAAACTCTGATTGACCTTGATAAAATAAATTATAGATCTCATTAAAAGTAAACCTATATATTAGATTGGACTCAAAGAATATGATAAATCGTAGAGTGTGAACGTTATCAGTGGAAAATTCGAAGCAATATTGCCAAAGGATTAATTTGTTTAAACAAGTTTAATCTCCGCATTCGCATTAAAAAAATATTTAAAAAAAAACAAATTTTATTAGATTTACCTATGGGCAAACTGAAAATTACACCATTCCATTAACTCCAACTAAAATCTTTTAATTTTTTTATTCGCAAATTAAACAAATCTACTGATTCCAAATATAATCCGGTAATTTGTTTATTCCCAAAAGCGGTCAGGCGTGATTTAACCCATATCATTTCATCGGCAACAAGGTTAAGAATTGTTCAAAGATTACGTTTACCCATACGGTTTTTGGGTTTCCAAATCGATCCATCCTTATAATATATACATACATCTATATCTTATAACTTGAAATATTCAAAACGAATGTAAATTTCTGCTTATCGTAGAATTAAGAATTCTCCCCTATGATTTTTGGGTTTCCAAATCCACCCATCCTAATATATACATATGTATCTTATAACTTGAAATGTTGTTAACGCTTGTAAATCTCCACTAAACAATAAAAGCTAGGCTCTTTACTCTCGAATTCTTTCGTTATTTCTCTCGCATTCTTAATCAGCTGATCACGAGCGAAAAAGCTTTTCAGAGCTTTCAAGAGAGTAAAGATCGGAATATATACTATATACCGACCACCTGTATATATACGGCATGTGGCACTTGTTGTCCGCTCAGTCCAAATTTTCCACTCTCTGCGAAACACGAAACAAAGAACATAATGTCGGGCAACAAATACTGCTTCGCCATCGATCGCGGCGGCACCTTCACGGACGTACTGTGCATCTGTCCCGGCGGAAAGGTGCGCACCATGAAGCTGCTCTCCGAGGATCCGGAACGCTACAGCGATGCCCCTCGCGAGGGCATCCGGCGGATCCTCAAAGAGGAAACCGGGGAGGATCTGGCAGCCAGTGGTTTGGTAGACACCTCCAAAATTGGTTGGGTTCGCATGGGCACCACGGTGGCCACCAATGCCCTGTTGGAGCGCAAGGGGGATCCGGTGGTGTTAGTGGTCAACAGTGGCTTCCGGGATCTGCTCTACATTGGCAACCAGGCCAGACCAAAGATCTTCGATCTTAACATCCGCAAGCCAGCGAATCTCTATAAGTCTGTGGTCGAGGTGGACTGCCGTATAGTTCCAGAGCAGGCGGATCGCTGTGAGCTGAGTGAGTAGTGGTGCTCCACAATAAAACCGACCGCGATTGCTAAACAGAATACCAATACAGATCACAGCTGGAAGGTGCTGGAGGGTGTGGCCGGCACCAAGTATCTGGAGGTGCGACCAGTTGATGAGGTGGCTATACGAGAATCCCTCTCAGTAGCCCGTGATCAGGGCGTCTCCTCGGTGTCCGTGGTGCTAGCCCACAGCTACGCCTGTCCGGAGCACGAGCTCCGGGTGGGAGCCATCGCCCGGGAGCTGGGCTTCAGCCATGTCACGCTCTCCCACCAGGCCATGCCCATGTGCCGGGTGGTGGCCCGGGGATACACGGCCTGTGCGGAGGCCTATTTAACGCCCCATGTGGATCGCTACTTGGCCAGGTGAGTGCATCTAATCTATGGTCTGGTCTGGTCTGTAAATTAGCTGAATGACCCAGCTCTTTTCGGGCCCAAAGATGTTTTTAACCGCGGCGGGGGAGTCGCCATAAAGATAAGTCCGTAGTCAGACTAAAAGCAGAATAAAACCCAGCAAAGCAAACATCCAAAGCTAAGATCTCTTATAGGGTTACGTAAAGTAAACAAATAGAGAATAACAAGGCTTGGATAAGGGTCTCGACTTTGGGATACCTCTAAATGGGATTATAACTAGGGTAATCCTATAAATCTTTAATTGTGTATAATTGTATAATAAATATTAACATTTAAATGAAGAATATATAAAAAGTATATCATTAATATTTTTTAAATTTAATATCGAATTATGATTGAGTTTTTTTTATTCTATAAAAATTCAATCTTTGAAAATCCTTTAATTTGTATCCGCAGTTGTGAAAAAAATATATTTTACTTTAAAATGTTGAATCACATTTAAATATAGAATATATATAAAATAGTAATAATTATTTTTATTTTATTAATTCAACTGGTATTTGTTCTACTGTCTTTTATATTCTTTGTTTTTCTCTTACTAGTTCATAGCCCTATCTTATCACAATATACCCAAGTTTCTAAAGATCTTGAGGGTATAAAAACAAAAGCGCGCTCTCACTGATTGCGTTTTTTTTTTAATACACACTGGCGGTCAAAATAAAGGGGACAGCATCAGGTTGTTTTATTTTTAATAGAAATTCCAGGCTAACATTAGTCTCTCATCCTGTAGTTTCAAATCTGGCTTCGACAAGCAGCTGGAGGGCGTGGATGTGCTCTTCATGCAATCGGACGGAGGCCTGACCAACATGGAGAACTTCCGTGGAGCCCGTGCCATTCTCTCCGGACCAGCGGGTGGCGTTGTGGGATACGCTCTGACGGGAGCCCGGGAGACGGAGCTACCACTTATCGGGTTCGACATGGGCGGTACCTCGACGGATGTGTCCAGATACGCCGGAACCTATGAGCACGTGATCGAAAGCACCACCGCAGGTGTAACAATACAGGCTCCTCAGCTGGACATCAACACCGTAGCTGCAGGCGGCGGATCGCGGCTGTTCTTCCGGTCTGGCATATTTGTGGTGGGTCCGGAATCAGCCGGATCCCATCCAGGACCTGCCTGCTACAAGAAGGGAGGTCCTCTGACAGTGACGGATGCCAATTTGATACTGGGACGCATTCTGCCGCAGTATTTCCCCAAGATCTTTGGCCCGAAGGAGAACGAACCGCTGGATCATGAGATTGCCAGGAGTAAGTTTGTGGAGTTGCAGTCGGAGATCAACGAATACTTGAAGGCCTCTGGGGATAACCGGGTCTTAAGCGTTGAGGAAGTGGCTCTCGGTTTCATTCGGGTGGCCAACGAAACCATGTGCCGTCCCATTCGAGCTTTGACCCAATCCAGAGGACTGGATACGGCAAACCATGTGCTCTCCTGCTTTGGAGGAGCTGGTGGTCAGCATGCCGGCGCCATCGCACGTAATCTGGGAATCGCCAAGGTGGGTACAATTCGGATAAATATGATTTAAAGGAAAAACTCTTATTAGTTTTTGAGTTATTTTAAGAGGAATAGTGGTTTAATTTGGTATCAGACCAAATACCATATTTTTTAAAATCTTTACTAACCAAAAGTCTTCAAAAATGTATTTTTTCATTAGTTAAAATCTAAAGTCGATGATTAGTAAACAATACATTTTTTTCCAGGTTGTGGTCCACAAGTATGCCGGAATCCTGTCCGCCTATGGAATGGCTCTGGCAGACGTGGTCCAGGAGGTCCAGGAGCCGAATGGCCTTGAGTTCAGCGATGCGAATGCACAGCAGCTGAAGGACCGCCTAGACGCCTTATCTCAGCAATGTCACGACAAGTTGGCGGAGCATGGATTCAAAACGATCGAACTGGAGCCCTTCCTCCACTTGCGCTACGAAGGCACCGATGGCGCCTTAATGGTTGCTCCGGCAGCTGGAAAGCAGTCCTCGGGCTCAAATTCCCTGATAGTGGCCTACGGAGATTTCAATGCCACTTTCCTAGAGCGTTACCGCACGGAATTTGGATTCGTATTGCAAAACAGACGCATTATTGTGGATGATATTCGCATTCGAGGATTGGGCAAGAACGAGACACCCCCGGAATCCAAAATTCAGAACGCCTCCGAAGTGACGCCTCCAGCCGAATCCAATTCCCGTTGTCGCCTCTATTTCGATCAGGGCGGCTTCGATGCTCCGATTTACCTGACCAAGAACCTTCTGGCCGGACACAAGATCGCCGGACCCGCGGTGCTCATTGATCAGCTCTCGACCATTGTCGTTGAGCCGGAGTGCGGTGTCCAAGTTACCCAGTTCGGGGACCTTATCATGGATGTGAAGACGGGTGGCAAACATGGCATCAATGCGGACTTGGATCCAGTGCATCTGAGCATCTTTAGCCACCGCTTCATGAGCATCGCCGAGCAGATGGGCAGGGTGCTCCAGCGCACTTCGATTTCAACTAACATCAAGGAGCGACTGGACTTTTCGTGTGCCCTTTTCGGACCGGATGGTGGATTGGTGAGTAATGCTCCCCACATCCCGGTTCACCTGGGCGCCATGCAGGAGACTGTCCAATATCAACTGAGGGTGCGCGGAGAGACCCTGAAGAACGGGGATGTCATCCTGGCGAACCATCCCTCGGCAGGAGGATCCCACCTTCCCGATTTGACGGTCATTACGCCGGTGTTTTATGAGTGAGTATTGGAAAGACTTTAAAAATTGAAAACAAAACTAATTTAATTATTTGAACATTTATTATTTCATTAAATCATCTCATACGGAATTCTTTTAAAACCACGAAAAAACATTTTCGGTGACTACTATTTTTTTACTTTAATCTTTCGAATTTATCAAAATTAAAATATTTGATTTTAAAATAATAAATTAAATTAAATTTTTGTTGGGTATCGAATTAATACTTATACCTTTATTATGACAAAGACTCTTTTTTGGCGTAAGAAATATTTCTTAAGTTTTTTGATATTACCCTGTTTTTTTGATCTCTTAAATATTTAATCTTCATAAATATTTCCAGGGATCACCCGCGACCGGTCTTCTTTGTTGCCTCCCGAGGTCACCATGCGGATATCGGTGGCATTACTCCCGGCTCCATGCCGCCGCACTCCACCTCGTTGGCCCAGGAGGGTGCCGCCTTCAAGTCCTTCCTGATCGTGGAGAATGGACTCTTCCAGGAGCAGCAGATCATTGAACAGCTGACCACGCCTACATCCGCAAAGGGTGCCGTGGGCACGCGGAACCTAAGCGACAATCTGTCGGATCTGAAGGCCCAGATCGCGGCCAACCACAAGGGTATCCAGCTGGTGGCGGAGCTGATCGACAGCTATGGACTGGACGTGGTGCAGGCGTACATGTCCCACATCCAGAAGAACGCCGAATTGGCAGTTAGGGATATGCTGCGACAGATTGGGCGGGATACGCTGGAACGCACGGGATCCACGGTGTTGGAGGCGAAGGAGTTCATGGACGATGGCTCTCCCATCGCCCTCAAGGTGACCATCGATGCGGAGCAGGGATCGGCCCTGTGTGATTTCACCGGATCGGGGGTGGAAGTGTGGGGCAACTGCAATGCCCCGCGGGCCATCACCTTGTCCGCCCTAATCTACTGCCTGCGCTGCATGGTCGGCCACGATGTTCCCCTCAACCAGGGCTGCCTGGCCCCCATCCAGGTGATCATTCCGAAGAACTCCATACTGGATCCTTCGGAGGGAGCCGCCGTGGTCGGTGGCAATGTGCAGACCTCGCAGCGCATCGTGGACACCGTGCTAAAGGCCTTTGGGGTGTGCGCCGCCTCGCAGGGATGCATGAACAACATAACCATCGGGGACGAGACCTGGGGATACTACGAGACCGTGGCCGGAGGAGCAGGCGCCGGACCCGGCTGGCACGGAGCCGGTGGAGTGCACACGCACATGACGAACACCCGCATCACCGACCCTGAAATCCTGGAGCTGCGCTATCCCATGATCCTGAAGCGGTTCTGCCTGCGCACCGATGGCTCCGGCGGACGAGGTCAGTTCCACGGAGGCGAGGGCGTAGAGCGGGATCTGCTTTTCCGCAAACCGGTAACCCTGTCCGTCCTGACGGAGCGACGCACCCTGCAACCCTACGGTCTCGCTGGCGGGGAATCTGCAAAGAGTGGCCGTAACTTGGTGGTCAAAAGGGATGGTCGAGTGATCGCCTTGGCAGGAAAGACCTGCATCGATGTGGAGGCTGGGGTATGTTTTGATATACGTTAAAATTACTTCGGGTACTAAACGATCTATTTTAGGATACTTTTGCCATGAAAACTCCAGGCGGAGGTGGATTTGGACCTATTGAAGATTTTTCTAAAACCGGAGAAGGTTTGAATCAGGAAAACAGCAAACGATACGTGGAGCGTGGCACTGTTTTCAACTACCTCCAATCCCAGGAATCTGCCTAAAAATTATCTTTTATATTTTGTAAAACAAAAATTGTATGTGCCATATTAAAAAAGTCTCTTAAATTGAGTGTTAAAATCAGGTGTAGGTCCCAATAATAAAATTTATTCAGTGTTTAAAAAATTAAAACAAATGTTTTATTTCCTTATGCAAATTTTACATATTTCAAACATAAGTACATTTTTAAACGTTGTTTCCACTTAGAAAATAATTAAAGAAGATCATATAATTGAAAATAAACCAATTATTTAGACTTACACTTTTGGACTGAAATTAGATAATTATATATTTGGCTTACAAAAAGCTGTTTAAATAGTGCGCCAAGCTAAAGCCGGTATATGAAACTATCGATAATTATAAACGAACATATGTTTTCGGTGACTGCAATCGCCGACAGTCTATCGATACTTGTGCGTAAATATGTTTTGCACGTGTTGCATTTGAAAAACTGGTGTCCGTAAACAAAAGTGTTTTTTCGGCAAATTAAATCAGCTAAGCGCAAATGAAGTGAATGGTAATTGAGTGCAAACTATAACAAAATGGCAGCGTTAGCGGAAAAGACAAAAGAGACGAACACATTTCGGGTGAGTGTCCCCAGAAGTCTCACGTTGTTGGGTGCTCCGTCTCACATGTTCTTTTCTCGCAGTTCAAATCTTTCGGGGATCGGGTGAATGAGATTGACTTGCGGCACTTGGCCCTCTACCACATCGGCCACCGGAACGAGGAGCTCGACGAGGAGGAGAATGCAACCTACTTCCAGCAGACAATTCAGAAATGGAACGTGCTCAATCTCACCGAGGAGTACAACTACTTCAGCAAACGATGCAGGAAGATAGTCACCCTGCCGCAGCTGCTGCACCAGAAGGACTTTGTGGTGGACCTGCTGCTAGAGCGCCTGGCCACCGCCACGAATCTGTCCCAACAGCCGCTGCTGGAGCTGCTGTACGTCCTGGCCAGGGATCTCCGCGAGGAGTTCTACCCTTACTTCCAACGCGTCCTGGATCGCCTGATCTGTCTGCTCAACACCCAGGATGCCGAGCAGCTGGAGTGGACACTGATCTGCCTGGCTCACCTGTTCAAGACCCTAAAGCCATATTTAAAGCGCAACATTGGTGTGGTGTTCAATGCCATTCTGCCGCTCCTGGATGAACAGCACTATGCCGAACATGTGACCAACTTTGCCGTGGAATGCTTTGCATACATTGCCCGCGATGTCCGGGATTTCCCTCGCTTTCTGACCTTTGTGCTGCAGACTGTACTGCGTGAGCAGGTGGAGAGTGTCCATGGCTGTGGCCGGCTCATCTACGAAATTCTACGCGGCGTCAACGGACAGCTGCACAATTCGGCGGCCGAGATCTTTGCCCATGTTTTAGAAGTGCTTGTTAATAAGGCCTCAGCTCACACAAAAGCGCAGACAGAGCTCTTGGGCGATATAGTGGAGTACTCCTTGGGACTTCTGCTGAACTTCCTGCGCTCAGATCAAAGCAATGTCCTGTGGCAGAAGCTCTGCTCCGCGGCTAGCACCGATAGTGCTGATGTACTGCGGCTAATCAATCTAATGCTGCCCCTGGTCACCCACAAGGATGGACGCTATGTCTCCGAGCTTCCGCTGGTGGTTTCCACCCTGCTGAAACTGTTGGAGCGGGAAGTGGATCCACTACAGCCGTTGACAACCTTGGTCACCAGTCTGCTAAAGGCTCAGCATACTCAACTCACCCAACTTGATGCCAGTCGCCTGTTGCAAAAACTTTTAAACATAAGCCGAAAACACGTTTCGGTATACGAAGACACCATTCTGCAGCTACTAGACTATCCACAATTTGAGATTCTTGTGCTACCTAATGCAATTGGATACTACGAAGATCAGAGACAAACTAGAGCGCTGGAGCTACTGGCTCGTATTGTTCAGCACAAAAGACCCCTGCAAGTGGATGGCAATTCGCTGGCCCAATGGGATGCTTATCCCCTCCAGCTGAAGCAAAAGGAGGCTATTAAGATCGTGGAGAAAGAGCTACTGGAGTTGGATTTAAGCAAGGAGGATCACCTCCTATTCCTTATCCTGGCTCCACACCTGAGGGGATTCAGCAAGCAGCCTTTGGAGCAAATATTGCAATCACTCATTCAGAAGTTCCTAAAAGATGAAGAAAAGGATTTTACCCAGCTTCTTTTGCTACTTCAAACGCATGCCTTGCTCAAGTTTAATCTACCCAAGAAACTGCGATCTAAAATAAGCGACTATTTAATCCCTGAACTGGGGAAAGACCTCCGAGCCTTGGCCTGCTTGCAACTGGTTCTTCTAGAAACCCCTAAGAACGAGCTTTCCGCCTCGGAGGAATTACTTTCTGCCATTTCGAGTCTTCTAAGCCAACCACTGTTGCAATACAGACGCATAGCAGCTCACTGCTTGGATGTGCTAAACTCGTCGAGCAAAAATAATCCCTACACATACTTTTTTGCCGCTGCCTGCATCGAGCCCACCATACACAACTATCGCGATCTGCTCCTTCAGCTGCAGCAGTTGGAACCGGCGGCTGCTCAGTTCAAGCAGTTCTCGGAGTTGCCACATTTCAAGGAGCACTCCGTACACCTCTTACTCGGCTTGCTCTACAATAATTTCAAGTTTGTGTGGGCGCCGGTCCAACAGCTCCTGGCTGCATACGCAAAAACTATGACGGCAGATGAGTTCTGGAACCCCTTTAAGGCCAAGTTGCTGGAAACTGTCGCCTGCATAGACTACAAAAAGGAGGTGACAACATTGCAAGAGCCATTTCAACGGGACTATCAATCGGCAGCGCTTACCATGCTCCTTCCTTTGGCCGGGGAGCCACAATTGACTCTTCAACAGGCGCTCAACTACCGTCAACTCCTGTGGCAAAGCCTTCCCAAGTTGGGAACTCTTGCTGAGGTAAAGAATGCGGATTTGGTGAGAATGTTTTTGCAGTTTTTAGAGCAGGAATATCGCGCTCAGTTGGAAAAATCGGAGTATACTTGGAATGTAAACGAGGCGACAGGTGAGCTATCTACAGTTAATTGCAAAAAATCAGTATTGTAAAGCTTCTTATTATTTTTAGCTGCTGATGTCGATGCCGATGATGATGATGAGAATGAGACTAAGCCCGAACCACGAGGCCGCCAGAAAAGAAGAACACACAACGCCCACACTAAGTTCATACTTCAAACGCTCCAGCTGAAACTGGCCTGTTTTGTCTCGCAGCCCAATCCCAAGGCCCTGCATCGGCAGGCGGAAATGCACGACTTCTATTTGGAGCTTCTAGCTGGTCCGAATTCCCAGTTGCAACAATTGGCTTTGGACTGCCTCGCGGCCTACAAGCAGCCAACGGCTCTGGTGCAGCAAAAATCTCAGCTATCTGGTCTTATTGATGAAGAAAAGTTCAAAACCACACTTAGTGGCTTCGAACTGGCCAGCATTCAGGCACAGCAGAGATCAGAACTGATGCCCTTCATGCTCCGCGTGCTCTATGGCAAAATGCTGACCAAGGGTGTCCAAAAGCAACTGAGTGCACAGCTGCGAAAGACGTTGATCCTTCGATTTCTGGGTCAACTAGAGGAGTCCGAGATCATGGATTTCCTGCAAATGGCCTTCGGAAGATTTACTGCCTACACCGATAAACCAATTAATGAGATTGCCAAATACGTTCGAAACTCCTATGATCCGTCAGCTGTAATTGCAGCTAAGCAGTTGCAGAGGATCGTGAATTTACTAGAGCTCATTCGCAAGGAATTCGCCGGCAGGCTGTCGGCTGAATTTCAATGTTACGTTTTGAAATTACTGCTGCTCGTGGGAAGCGTCGCCCAGGAAGTCATCAATGGAGAGGGAAAGCTGGTGGCTGCCTACAAGAATGTGAAGCACTCGGGCCTGCAGACACTGGTCAACTACTTTGGCCAGCTGGTGGACATGGATGAGCTGTGGCAGGAGCCGGAAATGAATGCTATTTGTGAGGTCTACCTCTGGCCTGGTATCGCTCGCCTTTCGCAGGACTCCATTCACACGCCCACACCCATGCTGAAGTTGCTCCTTTTGTGGGGCGGGGAACCCCGCTACCAGAAATGGTTGAACAGGAGTCCTCTTTCCGATAAACTTCCAATAATGAATCACTTGGTGGCTCTGCTGCTTAATGACAAAGCCAAGCCTAATGTCAAGCGTTCGCTTCTGCAGATGGTGGAGCAACTCCTGGAAGCGGCTGCCACTGAGGAGTACGGTGCCGAAGCACTGTCTATTGTGCATCCCCACATTCCAGCGATCCTGCAGCAGTTGCAGAATAGTTGGCGCCACAAGAAGGCCGGCAGACAGACGCTTGATAAGCGGGAGCTCAACATTCTAACCCTTATTACCTCGCATGTGGAGGAACCAGCTACTTGCGAGCTGCTGCTGGAGGTAGTCCTGCCCATATTCACCAAGCAGGCGGCTTCAGCTGGCCCGGAGACCGTCGTTCAATTAGTCACCACATTGTCCAACTTGCTCAAACGTGTCCCGAAACCGCAGGATTATGTTCGTCAACTAGCTCCGCTGTTCGAACAGGTTAATGTACTGCCTGCTAGAAAGTTACTTTGCGAACTCTTGGCGGACATGGCGAAAAGGCTGCACAAGGAGGCGAAACAGAACTCCGAACTATCCTCCACTGCCGCATCTCTGCGGGAGTGGGTAAGGATTGTGCTGCTTCTTAATGCCTGGGACAAGAGATGGCTGGAGCAACCGGACTACGACAAACGTCTGGAGGGTCTTTCGGAACTTAAGCAGTTGGTGGAGAAAAAGGACAAGAAGATAGACTTGCAACTCGGAGTTCTGGTGGTCTACAACTGCTTTTACATGTTGCGCCACGATTCGGATCTGGGCATGAGAGTGAACATAGGGGAACTGCTAAAGCCCTTGCTTCCTTTAATAACTCTGCAACTAGAGGTAAAAGAGGATATACATTTCTGGCTGGAGGACACAGTGCTGCCTCTATTACAGCGCTGTATGAGAGATGAGAAGCACGAGCATGCGAGGAGCGAGGCCATTGGTTTACTGGGCGAACTGGCACGCCAATGTCCAGCTGCACACGAGGTCTTGAAGGATCTCTCGCCACTGGCGGACAAACACGACCTGGAGGTGGACTTCTTTGAAAACATGCTTCACCTGCAGACCCAGCGACACGGTCGTGCCCTACAGCGCCTGGTGAATATCTCGGGAGGCAGTTGGAGACAGGCGCCGCCCTGTGCGCGTACCCTCACCCAGTTCCTCCTCCCCCTGGCAACCAGGTATCTGATGAGCGAAAAGCACTCCGGAAAACACACGCTGGTGGATGCCGCCATCGAGGCGGTGGGAGTGATGAGTGAACTCCTGCCTTGGACTCAATACCAAGCAGTTCTCCGCTACTACCTCCAAAAACTAAGACATGCCCAAGGGCAGCAGAAGCAGTGTGTCCGACTGGTGGTTCGGATCCTGGATGCCTTTCACTTTGACTTGACCCAGGCGCAGACGGATCTCGCTTCGCTCGCCAAACTCAAGCAGAGACTAGCCGAGGAGGTAGAGGCAAAGGAGCCCGCTGAGGAGTCACCGGAAAATAAGACGGAAGAGGATGCTGATGCCGAAGAGAAGCCCTTGAAAAAAGAGGAGGATCAGTCGGACTTTATTGACTTCGAGGAAGAAGAGGTGGCCGAACCTGTGGTGGAACAACAGCGCACCCAATTGCTGGCTCCCAACGCTGCCAAGAAAGTCATGGCCACCATCACCACAGTGTTGCTGCCAACCCTGAACCGATCCATCACCGAAAAGACCAACTACGACACCAAGCACAAGGTAAACCGGCGACGCCTGAGCTACGAGCGCGAGGAAGAGGAAATCCAGCGGGTACCCATTGCCTTGGCTATGGTGAAGCTGCTGCAGAAGCTTCCTTTGGAATTATTGGAAAACAGTCTACCTGGTATGTTCACTAGACTAACCCAAAACGAGAGGCAATAATAATTCTTAATGTATTTCCTTTAGGAATCTTCATGAAGGTCTGCACTTTCCTACGATCTCCTCTGAAATCCGTCCGAATGCTAACCCGTGACATTCTCAAGAAGATTATGATCACGTTGGGTGGCAGTTACTTGGGCATGCTGCTGGAGCAGTTGCAATCACTCCTCACAAGGGGATTCCAGGTGCACGTACTCTCTGTGACTCTTCATGGCGTTTTGGATGCTCTGAAGGGCGCCCTGCAACCAGACCACATTGAAAAATGCCTGCAGAATCTACTGGAAGTGGCTCTAAATGATATATTCGGCGATGTGAGCGCCGAGAAGGAGGTGGAGAAAATCGTGGCCCACACGCCAGAAGCCAAACCAAGTGCGAAGAGCTATCTCACACTTCAAATAGCCGCTAGACATATTCGGGATAATTGCTTGTTGGACCTGCTCTTGCCCTTCAAAGAGCATTTGGCCCGATCCCATTCTCGCAAAGTCACTCAGAAGATTCAGGAGTGCTTTGCTAAAATCGTGGGTGGCTTAGTAGAGAACAGTCACATCGCAAGGGAGAGTCTCCTGATCTTCATATACGGCACGATGTCGGAGAGTATCAGTGACCTTTTGCCGGGCACTAAAAAGCGGCAGCTCACGGATAAGGAGCAGGCACTGATGAAAAGAACGCGTCCTGATTGCCTAATCCTTCAACCGGCGCCGGGAAGACGCAGTGTGGTCATCGGAAACAAGCAAGTCAAGTCAAATGCCCAGGCCAACGCTCACATTCTGGTCGAATTCGGTTTGGAGCTCCTTCATTTCGTTCTGAAACGAAAAAAGTTAACGGATCTGGACTATCAGCCCTTCCTGCATCCCCTACTTCCCCTTCTAAAAGATTCCTTGAGCAGCAACCACGCCAGAACCACTACCTATGCCCTAAAGTGCTACACGGCCATTTGGTTGGGAGATTACGAGCTCTCCGAACTGAACACTGAGGCACTTCAGCCTGTGGTTGGACGTATGTTTGAGATCCTTAAGAATTTCTCGACTTTTGGAGCCACCCGGCAGGAAGAGAACGCTCAGCTGGTCAGAGCGAGCTTTAAGGCAGTGGTGGCTCTACTGCGGAAGTGCCAGGATTACCAACTCAGCAACGAGCAAATAGAGCAGCTTCTGCTGCACATCGAACAGGAGCTGCAAGAAGGCGAATGCAGCAGCCAAACCATGGTGTTCACCCTGCTCAAGGCACTTGTGGGTCGAAAAGTGGACACTCGTTCCTTGCACGAACTGATGAAACGTTTGGGAGACCTTTCCATCATCTCACCCTCGGATTACGTGCGAGATGAGTGTCGTGGCATCCTGCTTACCTATATGATGGAGTATACGCTGCGTCAGAAGGTGGAGCAGTTGGTCAAGTTCATGTCGGTTCAGTTGTGCTACAGCCAAACCGCTGGTCGCCAGTCGGCCATCCAGTTTATGCACTCCATCATCAACAAATTCCCGCAGCTAATGTTGGCCAAACAATCCGAGTTTCTATACCTTTCCCTGGGCACTCGACTGGTTAACGATGAGGATCCCGCGTGTCGGCGCAGTGTGGCCGCTGCTCTGGAAGCTCTGATCGGACGTCTCACCAAACAGGAAAGGAAGCCCTTGCTGGATCTCACACTGCTGTTTTTCACCTCACCACAATCCAGCCAGAAGCCTGGAGTCCGGGAAATGGCCGCTGCTCTACTCTCGAGATTTGTTCAGGCAGAGAAGGCTGGTTTTGCAGAAAGATTGACATTGGTTCTACCCACTCTGGTGAATGTTCTGACTTTGGGTGATGCGGAAGCGGGCGGTAGATTCGTGCGGGCTCCAGGTAATCTGGCATCGGAGGTGGACGAAAATGATCTGCATAAAAAGAAAAGGCGAAAGGTAATCGCAGTGTTTATGAGTATGTAAATTATTTTCTTTAACATACCTTAATTTTTTTTCTAGAAATCCGAAACTACGCCCGATGAAGAACTCCTGCTAGCTGGCCAAGACCACGAACTGCGTTTGGAAGAACAACAGCGCAAAGTTGACCATCAGCTCATTCAACTGCAGTACTGTCTGCTGAAGATCTTCGAGCATTGCGGAGAGTCCTTGCTCAGCAATCCGGAACTTTCGGATACGATTGATGAACTGGCCTATGGCTCTCAGCGACATTTGGGACACGAGCACAACTGGGTGCGCTGCAATGCAGCCAAACTCCTTACCCACATCTTGGCTCACTACGATTACACTTATGTGGGCCAACAGCTGTCCGGAGTTAAGAGAGAAGAAGACACTGAGCAGAGCCTTTACTTCATTTATGCGCAGCCTGCCGAGGATATAAAATCTCTGGTATTAGATCTGTGTGCCCAGGTCACGCCGGGCCAAACAGCGCAGGAAATGGTCGACGAACTGACGAAGATTCTGTTGTACGTTGGACACATGCTGAGAGATGTTCCCTTCAGTCTGAAACAGGAGAAGGATGCTGATGAGGGTGAGGAACAAGAGACGGTCAACAAAATAAATCTTAACTGGCTGCTGCGAAATATACGTTTTCTGATCAACAAAGAAGTGGCCAAGGCTCCTCACGATACCAGCATAGTACGTATGACCCTATACTATCCAAAGAGTGATTACTGATACTTTTTTCAACTTTAGCGGACTGCTATGTTCACGCTTATAGAGGCTCTGTCCACGCTGCTCAGTGTGGAGTCCGTGACCCGATTGGCGCCGTCGCTCCTCCAGGCCCTGGTTCGCGAAATGTCCGAGGAGGATCAGAACGTGGACGCGGAGTTGCGCCAGCAAGCCCTCCGCGTAGGCAGTCGTCTGAGGAAGCGCATCGGAGCCGATATCTACGACAAACTGAGGAATGCGGTGCAGACCAGGCTGATGGCTCGCCGTGCCGAGCGCCGCAAGGTTGTGGCCCAGGAGAAGATCCATGATCCGGAACGGGCGGCCAAGCGGAAGGCTGGCGTGCAGGAGCGCAAGAAGGCAGCGAAGCGTCTGAAGGCAGCTGTCATCCGCGGCAAAGCGCCAGACATCAAGCAAAAGCTTAAAAAACGCAAACGGAAAGCAGAAATGGATGGATTTTAATTAGTTAGTCGGTTGTTTTTTTAAACTAAGTTGTTTTCTAAGTAGAACGGAAATATACCGGAAATTGTAGCCTACCTAAGCAATATGTGGAAAATATACAAGCCGTTATTGCAATAAAACTTAATTTAACGATTTGATTACAAAATTTTTGGAAATTGGTTTCTTAAAGAAGAGCCAGATGTTACAGCTTAGTCTACCTTACTTATTATAAAATTAACTAACTTTGGTAATTGAGTAATTTAAATTTGGCGCTTCTTATCGATTAATTGTTTGTGGAGCACTCCTATCGATACGAAAAGGGGAGCCATCGATAAGTCGACTCGCATGTGTTGTGCAATTCCAGTTGTTGTTATTGTTTATTATTTCGAAAATGCAGCAGCTGCGAACCGCCGTGATCCACGGCCTGGCCAGAAGGATCCTTTTCCCATCAAGGACTACCCACAGCGCCAGTGCCGAGATCTACGACGTGGTGGTAATCGGAGGCGGACATGCCGGCACAGAGGCATCGGCGGCAGCCGCTCGCATGGGATCCCGCACGCTGCTGCTCACCCACAAACTGGAGACCATTGGCGAGATGTCCTGCAATCCCTCGTTCGGGGGCATTGGCAAGGGCCACCTGATGCGCGAGGTGGATGCCCTGGATGGGGTTTGCGGCCGCTGCTGCGATGTGAGCGGAGTCCATTACAAGGTGCTCAACAGGCGACGCGGACCGGCAGTTTGGGGACCCAGGGCGCAGATCGATCGACAGCTGTACAAGAAGGCTGTGCAGCGCGAGCTGCATAGCACTCCCAATCTGGAGATCCGAGCAGCTGCCGTGGACAACCTCCTCATCGAGGATGAGCAGGACACCCAAACCAGGCGTTGTGCTGGAGTTCTGTTGGCCAACGGCGAAGTGGTTCGCAGTCGATCCGTGGTGCTCACAACGGGCACTTTCCTGCGGGCACACATAAACATCGGACTAGAGGTGCGTCCAGCCGGGCGGATTGGAGATGCTCCAGCCAAAGCCCTGGGCGAGGCCATCGACAGATTGGGTTTCCGCATGGGAAGGCTGAAAACGGGTACTCCGCCCAGGATAGCAAAGAGGAGTGTGGATTACTCACAGCTTCAAAGGCACGATGGTGATGATCCTCCCATGCCATTCTCCTTCCTCAACAGACAAGTTTGGATACCCGCCAAAGATCAGTTGCCCTGCTATCTTACCTACACCACTGAAAAGGTCAGTGACATTGTGCGCAATAATCTCCACGTGAATCGCCATGTCACCGAGGAGGTAACCGGTCCACGCTATTGTCCTTCGATTGAGTCCAAAATCCTGCGGTTTGGCGCCAAGGTTCATCAAGTGTGGCTGGAGCCGGAGGGTCTGGACAGCCCTTTGGTGTATCCACAGGGAATCTCCTGCACGCTGCCATACGAACAACAAGTGGAACTGGTCCATGCCATCCAGGGTCTGGAGAATGCGGAAGTTGTTCAGCCCGGCTACGGGGTGGAGTACGATTTCATAGATCCCCGCGAGCTGTATCCCACGCTGGAAACGAAACGAGTGCCCGGACTCTTCTTTGCTGGTCAGATAAATGGAACCACAGGCTACGAGGAGGCAGCGGCCCAGGGAATCATAGCTGGTGCAAATGCGGCCGGAAAAACTCGTCACGGCGACGGAAGGAAACTAACTATAAGCCGAACAGAAGGATACATAGGTGTGCTGATCGACGACCTCACATCTCTGGGCACCAACGAACCCTATCGAATGTTCACCAGTCGAGCAGAGTTCCGGCTGTCACTTCGTCCGGACAATGCCGACATGCGCCTCACTCAAAAGGGATATGACTTTGGTCTGGTATTGCCACATCGGTACGAGCATTTCCAGAGAACCGAAGAGAAATTAAAATCGGCCATTGAATCCTTGAGACGACTACGCAAACACACCCACTACTGGCGCAAGGCACTCGATCTGCCCATGGCCAAATCTTCGATGGAGAAAACTGCCTTCGACATGCTAGGGATTCCGGCAGACAACATCTCTGTGGATCAGTTAATCCAGCTTCATCCTAGCGAACTGAGCTGGCTAAGCGGCGAGCGGAACTTGGCTGAAAGACTGAAAATCGAAGCGTTATACTCGTTCTTTGTGGATGAACAGCAGCGGGATGTGGAAGATGTGCGGCGTGAGGAGCGTCTCTCCATTCCTAGCGACATTGACTACTTCTCCAAGTCCCTGAATTTGTCCAACGAGGAGCGACAGAAGCTGACGCTCATTCAGCCGCAAACAATTGCAGCGGCCAGTAGAATTCAAGGGGTAACACCTTCTACAATTTTAAGGATACTGAAGTATGTCAAAAAAGCGGAAGTAGCGAAAGCTTAGTTAAGAAATGTATCTCTTGTAAATATAGAAAGTAATTAAATAATATTTTAATGTGCAATTTTAAAGGAGTTTATAAATTGAATCGTTAATTTTCTTGATACCAGAAATATACATTGGAATAGACACTTCCCATTCCCATCTCCTCAGACGAAAAAATATGTTTATAGCTTATCCTTAAGTAGAGTTTATTTCATAAAATCATAAATGCCTTATGTAAAGTTGCACAATATTGTTTAAATGTTTGTTTCGCATATCGTTTGCCACATGGTTGAACATTCGTACATATTTATTTTTGCGAGATTGTGTTGGCTCAAGTGAGTTGATATATACCCAACTATTTGCTGTGGTCGTGTGAAGATCTGAGAAAGAAGCGCCAATCTGTTGAATTTTAGATCTTAAGCACTTAGAACTTCTAGACACATTTTCGAACAGACTTGAGCGCTCCTCCTTATGTCTATTGCTATTGTTTTGGTAGCTTTTGTATTCGTGTACTTTTGTATTTGGTTTTCGGGTTCGATTGCGTTTCGGTTAGCTTACAGTTTAATGTTTTACACTTTGTATTCTGTTTACACACACAACGAAGATTGAGGGGGAGTTACAGTACATTTAATTTACGATCGATTTGTTTTCTTTGTTAAGGTTGTATTTGAAACTATTTTGCAGTAGTTGATTAGCTATCGCATGGCATTTGTGGTTACGTTACTATATGCGCGCCAATCGATTTCAGTTATCTGTGTGTCATTCAAGAATCTATTACGATTAGTTATTAAAATATATTCATTTTCAGTTTTACTGTTACATACACATAGTTTTGTCAAAAGGAAAAGTCGACTTGCATATGGCGGAATTTGTTCGGAATTGTCGAAGCGTGTCGGTGTCCATATTTAACTATTCAAAAAGGACGCCTCAACTTTGTGGGATATCCTGCTTCAAAACGAGTTGAATCTATAGTATAGGGTCTCAAATGGCCATAACTTGAGGCTCATACGCAATGATTTTTTGAGTTTTGGTTTGGTTTTTAATTTTTTTATAATATCACAGATTGCTCGAGATTTATGCATTAAAATATATATAAACCATTACTTCACGTATCGTCAAATGTTAGGCAATCTCAAACACAAAAAATAAACTGGGAGCAAGATAGAGGGGTAAGACTGGAAACGGGATTGAAAACTAGATCTATATCTTTGAGAGTTTGCTTGATTTTTAGGGTATTGACTACTTACTATAAACATCAATTATAGTGTGGATACAAAGTACTTTTGTTAGTAGTACGTCTCCATTTGCTAGCTTGTGTTTGGTTGGGTTTTCTGAAAAGTTTGCATATAAAATATTTCAAGTCACAAAAAAAAAATATTGTTAAGGGCCAAAGGGTGGCTTAAAAAAGTTGTTTAATTTCGAAAAATAATTTCGGCCTTTCGCTCTTCTCTTCTAATCCATTCCAGAATATCTCTCTAGGTTTTTGATTTGATTTGTTATCTAAATTTCAGTTCCGTTTTCCCCACTTTGTATTCGAGTTACATTTTCATACGTTCTCCGTTTTTATTCGTACTCTCCAAATCACAATTATTAGCAATTAGCAATTTAAGAATAAAATATAGCTACCCAGTATGTTTTGTATAATTTCTGTTTCTGTTGTGTATATATAAATTTCTTATCAGAATTTTAGACTAACTTTACAACTAGAATTATTTTGCTCGGGCCATGAACATTTCCACACGAAAACTACATCCAGAGTCTATGCAAGTACATATCTAAAATTCTTATGAATAACGTTTCTTTCGAGAGTAATTAATTTACTTGGAATATGTCACAATATTTTACATTTTATGCATATAAGATTTTTACACCAATTCAAAATGACTAATTGTGGTAGAATTGTATTCAACTGGTTGGGTAAACGTTAGATTGTAACACCGAGAACAAACAAATATCTGATATCTGTTATGGAATTTACATTGTATTGTTTATAGTGGCTAAAAGGTGATTCCATTGGCCAGCAGTTTCATCCTTCTCCAGGATTCCTTTAGAGCTTCAGGAACTCGTCGAGCATCCGCTTGCGCTGCTGGTGAAGAGCCCGCTCCGACAGCAAGTACATCCCAATATCGCTGTAGTTTTTCATTAGTTAGTTATTGGAATTACTGAAGAGTTGGTGTCATAAGGCTGTGGCCTCCTCCGCGCTGTTGCTGCGACCCAATCCGCCCAACTGCGGTTTGCTGTCATCTGAAATACACCGAGGTTTACTGCTTTAGTTGGAAAGTTTCAAGGATCACATAACCAAAGCGAAATAATAAGTGTAAGGCAAATAATTGTAAACAAAAAATATTTATTCAGGCCATTTCTAAAAGTATACGCTTCACATTTAAATAGGGAAATAATAATAATAACTAAGGATTAAAACATTTAGAATTGGATCTAGGCGGCGCTGGCAATACATTACAAGTTCTTGTATAAATAAAGATGCTTGACTAACAACTAAATTATCGCTTAGTTAAATGTAACTGAAGGTAGATGTTAACTAGTTCCGATCCGAGGCGACTTTTCAAAACTTAAACCTAAGCGTACGAACAATCGCTCCACTGGGCGACCCACTCCCGCCAGGGGATCTGTCATCATCTGGTGGGCTCGGCAGTGGGCGTGGCGGCACTGGTGGTCACCTCATCGCTGGTCATGGCCGCCGCCGCCTTGCTGGCGCCGCTGGTGCTGCTGCTGACCACCGGCGGCGGGGTGGTGCCACTGGTCGTGGAGGTCACCCCGCCGGAGGTGGACACGGTGTCTGGGGAGGCCATGGCCAGGGTCTTCGGAGGAGCCGGTGCCGGCGACACCGACAACCTGGTGCGCTGCTTCTCCTCCTCTATGTCTGTCTTGGGTGGGGCAGTCGTGTCCGAGTCTAGAATCTTTGGGGGCTCCTCTTTGCATTTACCTGATGCTGCTGCCGTGGCACCGACCGCCGGCATCGAGTTGTTGGTCTCCGACTGGGGGCTGGCACTTCGCCGGGAGGAGTTCTCCGGCGAGCTGTCCGGATGGATGGGTTTGTCACCAGGCGCAGCATTTGGCGTGGTGGGCTTCTTTTCTAGCGCCACTGGTGGCGGAGAACTCTTAAGCGGATCCTCTTTGTTGGCCACCACCTGCTCCTTGATCTCTCCCTGCGATGCTCCATTGGATTCGCCTCCATTCACCTCGTGATTCGCCGGCTGACCACTGCTGGCGTTCGAGGGCGCCTGGTTACTGGAATTCGAATTCGATCCGGTCAAATCCAAGGTGGCCGGCTCATGCGTCACCGGCGTGGCTGCCTTGTCTATCAGCGCTGATTGTTGGGCCGCAGCAGCCACCGCGGCCGCAATGTGATGCCTCATGGCATGGGGGCTACCGCCTGCTCTGCCGCCGTTCGCCGAGGAAGATGGGGTGATCGGGGGAGTGATCTTGGGCGAGCTGGGCAGCGAAAGGGGCTGCTGCTGATGGGCAGCCGTCGGAGTCATTCCGCTGGCCGCCGCCGCAGCCGCATGCATGGCCGCCAGATGGCCGTGGTGGTAGTAGTGGCCCATGTTGGGAATGTGGGAGCTGGAGGTGGTGGGCGGCATGCCACTGCCACTGACGCCGCTGGGCGTCGAGGTGGGCACCTGGTCCGCACTCAGCTTCACAGCTGCCGTCAGGTTTAAGCTGGTGTGCGGCGAAGATGCAGATAGGCTGGAGCTAGCTGTCACGGGAATGGAGTTGCTCATCCCCACTCCGCCGGCCGTGGAGGTGTGCGGTGGCAACTGGTGGGCCAGCGAGGCGGGATGGTGCGGCGACATGTGCGGATGGCTGAGGTTCAGACTGTGCGGATGGGCACTGAGTCCGAGGGCAGCGGCCGAGAAACCAGGATGCGTGAGTCCAGCAGCGCCCGGGTGAGCCAGGCCCATGGCCGCCTGCTGCAGGTGGTGCTGCAGATTGGTCCCATGGCCGCCGAGTGGAGACACTCCCACGCCTGGGAGCCCGGCCATGCCCAGGTTAAGACCCATGGCTCCGTGCGGACTCTGCCGCTGGGCATTCGCCGCCGCAGCATGGTAGTGCGACATCCCGGGCAGACCATGAAGGGCTCCTGGAGGTCCGCGCAAACTCATATTGAGATGTGGGATCATGGAGCCCAGAATATTCCGGTTCAGTGGGGCGTACAGCTGATTCGAGTAGTGATGCGAGGCATTCAGCAGCTGCTGGCGTTCCCGCTCCCGCTCGCGCTCCTCGTCCCGGAGTTTGCGTTCCCGCGCCTCCTTCTCGCGCTGCTCCTTCTCACGCTGCTCCCGCTCCCGCTCGCGCTGCTCCTTCTCCCGTTGCTCCTTTTCCCGCTGCTCCTTCTCACGCTGCTCGCGCAGCTCCCGCTCCTTCTCGCGCTGCATCTCCCGCTCGCGCTCCTCCTCCCGCGCCAGCCGCGCCCTGTGCTCCTCTTCCAGCTTCATCCGGTCGTGCATCGCCGGCGAGATGCCCAACGCTGCTCCGGGCATCATCGAGTAGAGGTGGGAGTAGGGCGAGGCCATTTGGGGATACAGTGCGGCCGCATGCGGATGCGAGGGATGGGCGCCGGCGGCACGGAACAGTTGGTAGCGATGCTCCAGGTACAGCTGCTCCGTGTACGGCAGTCCAGCGGGATTCAGAAAAGCTGCAATAAGCAAGGTGATTAGGATTTACAGTGAGTATTAGTAGCAGTCAAAATAATAGCATCTTAAGTAGTAATTATCTTTCTTAAGTGGGCTCATCTTTTAAAATTGGATAAAAAATTGCATAGGAACTTTAGTTGTTACATTTTTGCAAATATTTTAGGTGTCACAGAAATCACTTCCAATAAAATTTTAACAAAAACCAAATCTCGGTCTGATTTATTTATTTGAAATAATCCAAAGTAAGCGATCTTTGCAAGTTTGTTTTTAAGTAGTAGTTACTTATTTTGTAAATGTAAATAAGTAATGTAATGTTTTTAACTTTTTCTAGTCAGTTTAAACTATCTTTCGTTTTTAAGCCATTTATCTTTTGCTATTATTTCGATACCAGCTTCAATTTGTGTGCTTACCTGCTGGGGGAATCCCCGGCAGTCCCGCAAAGTGCGAGTAGGCCTCCAGGGGAAAGGCGCCCGCCGGATGCATCAGCCGCTCGTCCGATCTGTACGGCTGGAATCCGCTCCTGGCCAAGAGTTCCGGCTGCAGGGCTGTTTGTGGTGTGTGACTCAGTCGGGCGATCTTCTCCGGCGGCTGCGGTGAGGGCGGTGAACGCTTCTTGTTGCTCGCCACCCGATCCTCGCCAGGTCGCTCGGATCCCACACGTCCTCCGCCCGAGTTCAGAGGTCCCTGGCCCGAGGACGACGTGGGCGGTCCTCCGGGTCCCGAAGAGGGCACATTCCTGTCTCCGCCCACATCCTCCTCCTTGATGTCCGCCTGCTTGGCCAGCGTTCGCAGGGCGGCGGCAAAGGAGCCTCGACTACTGGCCGATGCGGCACCAATGGCTCCTGGTGGTAGACCCACTCCTGCCGCCAGCTGTTGCTGCACTGCAGCCGCCACCGCCTGCTGTTGGGCCTGATGTTGTTGCTGTTGCTGCTGCTGTTGCTGCTGCTGCTGTTGGTGTTGCTGGTGCTGTTGATGTTGCTGCGGCGACGGAGTGCCAATGTGGTTGCTGGGCAGGGCGTGGTTCAGCAGGGCATTTCCACCGGCAGACGATGGCACCGGGCTGTTGGCCACCGAAGATCCGGGTAAGCCACCACCGCCGCCGCCAGGAGGTGTCTGCAGGTGGTGCGGCACGGGAATGTGCGGTGCGGGGCTGGTGGCCGGCCGCTTTTGTCCAGCCTTCGGCGGCACTGCAATGTGGCAAAAATAAATTGGTAAGTCAGATGTGTTGGACAACTTATATTTTATAGCTTTCCCTTTAACTAGCTAAGGATGATAAGGTCCTTTAACTTTAAATATCTGAACCATACTGTTGTTAAAGCATTGCTTAAAATTGAAATCATAACTCTAGACACCATTTAAAGAAGTAAGAGAGGATATTTCCATAATCTAAATTCCTATTTTTAAGTCCTTGGATTAAAATAACATGTTTTTTTTTTATTTTAGAGAACCGTAACGAGTACAAATAAGCATAGAACCAAAAAAGGTTTATCAATTTGAAATATTTGTTTTCAAAGTTATGTATGTTTTAGCAAATTAAACTCAGCTTGAATTTAAAAGGTAAATATTTGTAATAAGGAAACAATAAATCCATGTTTTATATAACATAGAGTTCCACTGTAATTATTAATGTCGCTGTGTAAAAAGTGTTAACGAAATGGTGGTTATTTTTTTAAGGGTTTCCAGAAATTCTCTTTGCCAAATGGACTTTGCATGAACTCAGTGAGAATACAAGAGTTCAGATTATTCGGTCCTGTGTCCCTGTAACTCGACATAACACCAGATTCCCAAAAGGATGAGGGCAGATGGTTGGACTGTGTTCGCTCGCATTTCCTCTGCTAATATCTGATTGATGTCCGCGAGTTGTGTGACGGGCAAAAATTGCGCATACGCCTCGTTGCATTTGCGGCAATTTGCATAGGCAGGCGACAAGGTGGATCCCCCGTGCAGGTGTACGAGTGGCACTGGTACTGCCACCACCATCGCCATCGCCATCAGGAGGAGCAGAAGCCAGAACAAGAGCAGTCACTCCATGGCCAGCAGCAGGTTGACGCTGGTTGAATGCAAATGGCGAAGGCCTGAAACTTGAATTTCGGACATGGTCCACTCAGGCATGCGAATCGAACGGGATGAGGGCGGAAGCGGAGGTGGAGGATTTCGCCTACGCAGCCCCACCTCTGTATCCATCCACCACCACCTCCTCCTCCTCCTTCGGTGCCCACTTTTCCTTTGAGGCTCCTCCGCACAGCGCAAATTGCACGCCCAACGAATTTATCGATTCTTGTTACTCGTTTTCGGGTTGCCCGCTCCGAAATTGCTTTCAGATATGACAGCCACACCCCCGAGCCCGCCCCTTTCAGGTCGCCGAGCCAGGAGAGGACTCCTGGCTAGTCCTGCTGCTCCTGCAGCACCATCTCCGCATCTCGCATTCAATGCCGAATGGAATTTGCAACGACATCGAGGAGAACGATGTTATGAGGCCGGCACGGCATGTATTTTGAAAACCATTTCGCTGGCTGGCTGGCTGGCTGACTGGTCCTTTGTGGACCTTAAAGCTGCTCGGTCTCAAATGGAAACCCATCGGATTGGAAGTGGTTTTTCCGGGGACCTGGAAACATCGGGGATACTGGGGGTGGGTGTGCTAGCTCCTAGAAACTGTTTCGCTTCGAGTGCTGCACATATTTCGAATTTTTGTGAAAATCAACAATTCAACAAAAATAGAGAAAAACTTTTGTGGTTGGGTAAATATTATCACCTCTCTCGGTAGCCTTAGTTCTGCTTTGGATTTTATTTATTTACTGGCTTTCCATCCAAGTGGAATCTGGCAGTCAGGCAGTTCTTCAAGAGCTTTTATTAAATGAAGGAAAAATGCAACGAAGAATGCAGCTGCATCACTGGCTTCACCATCACCATCCTCATCATCATCATCATCATCATCTTCAGCTGCAGTTTGCCCTCAGTAGAACATCATGATAACGTCTGCTGCATAAGCTCATGGTTTAGAGCGTTTTGTGCCGTTTATGAAAATGGGGTGAGTGCAGGCTGGGATCTGGGATCTGGGCTAGTATGTAGATGGCCTGGACATGGAAATGGGTGTGGGTATGGGAATGGAAATGGGAATGGGAGTGGAAATGTGTGCATGTGCTGGCTGCTGCTGCATGTGTATTTACCAAACTAAACCGAAATAATGCCCGAAACTGCAGTACCAACATCGATGTCGACGAGTAGAACAATAAAATGCCGACGACTGCGAATGCGAATGTGAATGTGAATGAGTTTGGAGCGGGTTTGGGGGTTGGGGGTTGGTTGGAAAAACCCCACATCTGCACTCATTTCTACACTCCCACTCCCACACCTAAAACCCGGAACCCAACCTCCTGGACAAACCAAACAAAGCTCCTCGATGCCGATGCCGATGACGATGATGCCAACGTTGACGTGGCTGGCCGTATTTGCCAGTTTGCCCAACTCAGCCTGTGGGCTCTTGCCAAACGAAGGGAGGGGAGGGGGTAGTATGGAAATGTAGTGCCGGGGAAAACTAGAGTCGAGTCCCTCGGCCTCTACCCTTTCCGCTCCCGCACTCGCTCCCCCTGCCGTTGTTTGCCATGAAATGCCTGTTTGTTTGCCTGGGTTTTGTGTACTTCAACATGGTCCCAGACCCCAGATCCCAACCCCAGATCCCAATTCTAGTTCCTAACCTGACTCAGATGCCACACCCTGCAGCCAGCATCCGCACACACTCGTATATGGAGTGATATAGAGAGACTGCTTTCGCATTGAGCGGCGATTTGCAGGCATCAGCGATATTTGCCGAATTTAATCAGCGCACTGACACGAGAGCACCGCAAGACTCGGCTCCCGTTTCCATCCAAAGTGCGGATATATGGCATGGTGAACTTTTTTTTTTGCCATCATAGTGCTCCTTAAAGCGCCCTGGAATTCCAATAGTCTATCACACGGAATTTGAACTCTCGACCGGAACGGAAAGTGTAACTTTACTGCTAGAGAAAAGGGGGACCTCTTTATTGGCTTTTGCCACGCATATACAATTAAATTAAGTGAAAAATCGTAGTATATCTATTTTTGGATATTGCTGTCGTAAAGTTAAACATTCGATACATTAAGATACCATTTGCACTTCTTCAAAATTTAAAAATTTTGAAAAATGTAAGTCTTATAACCAAACAAATTTACAACAAAACTTCCTGAGCTTAGTTTTTCCTAATCCATTTTTACACCTATTTAGATTATGTTATTGCTGTTTAAAAAATAAAAATATTTTTCACTACCTTCTTATTATTTTTGACACAAGCCTAAAACACTAAAAATCTATTTAATGGTTTTAGAATATCCAGTTTTTTTATAGTAGTTGTTAACTGAGAGTTTTTTGAATAATATTAAAAACAACTTCCTTTTTGACACACTTAGATAAAATTTACAAAAATGTAAAGGGAGCCAACGTTTGTTTCGATTTTTAAATAATTCCTATTTGAAAACAAAGTATTTTCTAAAACATGAACTAAAATCTCACATCTAAGCTCTTCCATACATAATCCCCTGCAATCAGAGTCCTGACACAGAATTGAGTTCAAACCTCATCCACAAGGGATACAAACTTCAAATCTCATATCCATTGATTTATAACTCATTTATTAGCAACAATCAGAAGCCGGGGAAGGAAATGCGAGGGAGGGGGGGGCTTATTCATTTCAGTTAATTTGGTCAAATGCAAATGTAATTTTGTAAAGTCAATTAAGTGAACCTCAGACTGCAGTCCTGCCCTTTGGTTGCCGCCCGAAAAGCTCTTGACAGCCACATAATGCAAATCATAACTGCCAATAAATAAATGTTGAATAAATTATGCACAGAAACAATGCTCCCCAATGCACGTTGCTCCTGCTGCTGTGGCATTTGTCACATTTTCCATTTTGGTTCAATGCAACAAAATTGGTTTTCTCGCTTGGGTAAATTAAAATGTCACCGATTCCGAGAAAGACCAAAATGCAAGCACCACCAACTGCCCGCACCACCCGACCACAAGTGGTGCCCCGCCCAACTTCGTCCGCAGCCCATTATTGTACACATAAACACATGTTTCCATCCACATCCTCGTCGCGCTGCCCATTTCCTCACCCCCGTATTATTATGGTAAATTCGTAGGGACTCATTCCGAATTTATGCCATTACCACCGCCCACAGATCGCAGTCCTTTGACCCCCACTTCCTCATCCCGGACACATTGAATCACGCACACACTCCCACACACACACACGGAAAGTGGAGTGGACTACCGAAACCACCGAACATTCCTTGCCACAGAGAAATGTCGCCGGTCGCATGCGATTATTCCACCACAACTAATTACAGTGGCAAACGGAACACAGGACCTTCCTCTGTCCACCCCCTTCACCACCACCCCCCGCATCCAATTCGCCTCCACACATCCTGCTGTGCACCGGTGACGGCGCTCCTGCGGCCAGGACATGTTTAGGTCAGCCACAGCACATTCACATGGCGAAGTGCACTCACCCTGGCCATGAATAATTTATTTAATAAATACATTCACAATTAAATCAAATGCGAAAATTGCGGCGCCCCCACTTTGCCTTTTATTCGGGCATTTTGTTGAATTTTAGATATAGCTGGGCATAAAGAGAGTATAATGAGCCAGATGGGTGTGCCAAATGATAGATAATGAATGTTATGGGTTTTTTCTTCTTTTAAACGACATTAGTGTTAAATTCGTAAAATATCTACAAATTGTATGACTAATTTTACTAATTATCGTAAACTATCTATTTTTCGTTTTCAATTTGAGTATTACGGAAATCTATTTGATTTGAATTTAAAGTTTTCCGAGCTTAAGGTGTTGATTTTTGAAGAGTTTGGAAACAATTAATTTTTCTGTCACTTAAATAAAGGGCCAATTAAAACTAAAACCCGTTGTCAGAATGATTCGAATTACGCCTCTTTCTTTATACTTATCTTAAATAAAAAAATTTAGTTTAAAGCTGAACAAATTGTATTTAAACTGGCCTTGATGGATGAATACTTAATATTTATTAAGTATAATTCTAAATAACGGTTATAAAGAAAACCTGACTAAACCAATACTTGTATATTTCCTTATTAATTTCAGCATATTGCAAGATGCCGAGTCTAACATTTAAAAGTTCTAGTTCAACCAGCT